AGTCAAAGTCTCTACAGCGATAATTAAAAGTCGTTACCAATCGGCCCCTAAACTTGCGATTTTGCCATTTTATTGCCAAACCAAACTCTTAATTATTTATTTTTACATTTAAAAGACATTATTGATTTTACATTCAAGCTCTAAATTTACTTCATCTAAAATATCCAACTATATTGGGTGCAACTAATTTTACATCATCTACGACTAAATTACTAAAGTTCGATGAAACAAACATGTGGATGCTAGCATCCGAATACTTCATTTGGATATAGAAACGAACAACAACCTCTAATTAGAGAAAAAAAAAACTCTTTTATCGAACATTGAAATTTGTAGCTGATATCAATCAAATTTATCTTCATATTGTCAACTATTCGAATTTATCTTCCTTTGGCTTATATGCATATTCTTCGTAGCAGTTCGAACCCCGTCCCAAAGGGATATGGTAGAGGTGTTTGGACCACAAACCCATATTTTTTTTAAAATAAATTTTAGACAGAAAGGCCCATTTTTGTGAAAAAATTAGAAAAAGGCTTAGAATTTTTGTTAGTAGTATAAATTATGCTCAAAAATATAAATATATACTCCTTCTGTATCACAAAGAATGATTTTTGAACTTTTTCACAAGATTAAGAAAATAATAAATAATATACAGTTATTAATTACTTTTGTGTTATATCTTTTAAAAAGTTAATTTTAAGATGCTCTTTATCCCACTTACTCCAATCAATTTATCTTGAAAATAAAAATACATTAAATATACTACAGAAAATCAATCTTTTTGATACAAGAATAAAACCTCAAAAATCACTATTTTTGATACAGAAAGAATATTTAATATTATGTAAATATATATATATATATATATATATATATATATATATATATAAAATTTAGAATAAATATCAATAAAGGCCCAAAATTTTCTTTTTTCCCCTACAACTTTTTTACAGTTGGGCCGGGGCTGAGCAGTTCGTTATGTAAAGAAGTATGCCGTGTAGAAAAAATAAAATAAGAAAATAAATATGTCATGTTTCTGAAATTTTTAATTCAATACTCCCTCCGTTCTTTTATAAGTGATATTTTAACCTTCTATTTTTGTTCTTAAATAGATGATATATGCTTTCAATTTTCAATGCAAAATTAATTACTTTTTATTGGTTTTGACGATTTCTATTCTGTAAATTATTTTTTTATTGGTTGATTAGATAATAAAGGATGTTTTAGTTTAGAAATAAACAAAAATTAAATGATTTCTTAATCTATATGCATTTTCCTAAAACATCACTTTTAAAAGAACGGAGAGAGTATTAAAATTTTAAAATGAAGTCCAAACTAATCCCATGATATCGTATCCGTCGTATATGTACTAATTACTAAATGAAGAGAATAAACCATCGTATAAAATCGATTTGACTAAGGACACAACTTTATTCAGCTTTAATATATAGTTTAAATTTCGTACTTAATCAGGTAATCAAATTCTCTAAACAAATGGAACAATATCAGATAGGGTAAACTGTTACCATCTGTGTAACTTTGCAAGTTAGTAAGTCTAAATTATAAAAAACGATGACTTGTACTTCTAAAACTCCAGCATATTATATAAAATTTTGAGGTCAGGCATTTCTACAAGTTCAGACTTAATTCTTCCTAATGTATGGGGTTAGGTATTTTCTGTCGCTTTACCAACAAAATTGACGTTTCCCAGACGTTTTAGCTTGTTATGTCATTGTTGCATAATTTATGACCAACCAAACCTAAGACCGAATCAGGTTTTTAGATAGTTCTCTTTCCTTTGAAATTATAAGATGTTTTGGTTGGATTGGCATAGATTAAAAAAATTAGTAAATAACTGACATATTTATATAAGGTACGTAATATGCGGGTATAAAGTAAAAATTTGTTGATATACATTAATTGTAGACTTGTAGTAGAGAAACTGGATCAAAATAATGCATCAATTAGAGGAAATGTTTTTATGAAATTTGTTTTTGTGTGAACCACATATTAATTAGAAATCCACACCTTAATCGATTACGAAGATAAAGAATTTATAAAAGAAATCGCATTGAATAACATTTTAAAGGTTCGTGCTAAACAATCAACTTTAACATTATAGATATTAGAGTACTGGAAAACGAAAAAAGAATTAAAAAAAATAGACAAGGAGCACATCAATCTCATCTTGAAGAAACTGGGCCAATAATCCTCAAGATTTTTTGTGGAGATTTTATATACAAAAATATGGGAAAATGAGTTCATTAACAAGGGTTAATTATCTATAAATATAATAGTCAATTTTGGGAAGAGCATCTACAACAAAATTATACTGATTGGGAAAATGAGTTAATTTTTTCGCATTAACATGGTTAATTTAGAAACTTTTCTACCGAGATAATAAAAATTTTGTAGAGAAAAGTTGGGAAAATCAGTTAACATTTTGCATTACAATTTTCTATCATCATATTTATAAATAGTAAATTTTGAAATTATTCTTAGTAAAGTAATTATCTATACTTCACAGTTCTTTGTAATATATACTTTAAAAATAATTTTTTATACGATACACGTGTTTTTAGTCGATATATATATATATATTTTTTTTTTGGTAAAAAGTCGATCGATATATATATGCTATCAAATGTGTCTAACTATACACATAATTTGGGATGTGGGCTGGCATCTTTCGAAATGAAATTATTCCGAATTATAGATAATTAGATGTAGTCATGGTACACAAAGAAAACTAGATGTGAACAGAGCCGCCCATGGGACAATTACATGTTACAACTTTAAATGAATGAATTAAAATATTTCTCCTTTTTTCCTTGATTAAATAATTATAGTAACCGATCCTAGTTTATGAACTATAAACGTGTTCTTTGACAAAAAAAAAAAAACGTGTTTATTTATCAAACAAGGACTTTAAGGTAAAGAATTCCTTAATTTTTTTCTTACAGAGCATGAAAATAAGAATTTATTTATATAGATACTTGACTCTTGCATAAAAGTGAATCTAACAAATTTTCATAATTTTATTCTTACAGATATCAAGATGTATAAACAGTTAAACACGATCTTATATTTATTTTTTGTGTGATAAGAAAAATAAGAAAAGTGACTCTTGCATGGAGGGAAGCTCAAACGAGCATATGATCAAAATTTCCACAATTCTCAAGTAATAGATCCCTAAGTTGAAGGGGACATCAACAAGACTTATGGCTCCTAGAAGGAATTAGATTTTATACTATGAAGATTGTAATTGTGTAGTGGTTCTCAATTAAAAAGTTGTCATGTAGGTGTAGGCTAGAGATTGATTATTCACAAGCACATAATTTACTAAGAGCAACCCCAATGAGGGTTTTTTAACTAAGTCTCTTAACATTAAGACAACAAAAGTATAATTATTTAATTGTGTGGGTTTCTTGAATAGTGAAGAAACTCTCTCCAAAATTTCTTATATAAGGTACTTTGACATACTTTGGAGAGGGTTTCTTCACTATTCAAGAAATCCACACATTTTTTTATTAATACATTTTCTCTCTCTAAAATAAGAGACTTATGTTTAGAAACCCTCAATGGGGTTGCTCTAAATCACTCCCATTTCATCCGTCGAAATAGTGCCATGATTTAGGTTCATCTCGGATAGTGTACTAGTCGACGACTACACTAATTCTAAAAGATTAGTCGAGTCGTAGGAACCCGGATCACCCTCTAATTATCAAAATTATTTTTAATCATAAATAAATAAAAATAATAATGATAATAAATTTTTTTTTATTAATGATAATACATAATATGCACTTTTCTCCCTCATGCAAAGTTAAAGCCGTATTATAAACTATGTCGTGCATGGTGGGATTTATATATATTGGCACTAGTCAATGACCGCATATATATTGCTCAAAGTTTATATCTGAAGGCTCTGTTTAGTTTAGTTTTTTTTTTTTCTTTTTAACTATTGTTTCACACAATTTCTCACAATGATATTGATAGGTTTTCTTTATATAAAAAAATGATAAGTTTCTTTTGTAATTTTGTTAACATTAATGTTCCCCTGCTTTTTCTGGACCAAAAGTTTTGGTCCAAACCAAAACACACGTTAGATATATATTCACGTTGAAAAAAAAAAAGCGTTTAGCCAAAATATTTAGGTTTATTGTAGAGCTCTAAAACTAGAACGCCAACCTTCCAAATCAACACACCTACAATTTAGTTCTACAACATAGATAATTTATAATTCTAGCAAACCAAAATCTAAGAAAATATGGACTAATTCTGGAGCTACAATCTAAATGCTTCATTGGTAACTTGTTTTGGAACATGCACACGAACATATCGTAAAAAAGGATCAATTGCTATACCTAGAGTTTCTACTTTTCTTTTAAAAGATTCTTAATAATTTACGTTACTATACAGGTGTACGTTCCAGAATCTAATTAAGCATTATCATTTGTTTTGTTATTTTAACGTATCTTTTTCGCTTGCCTTTCTTTAATTGCCATGCATTCTTGGATTTTTGTGGCCCACGTTCAGTTTCATATCATTATTAAATAAACAAAAAATAGAAATTAAACTAAATTCTATTAATTATAATTTCAAATAGCTTCTATGTTATATTAAAAAATTAATTCTTCTATGTTATAAAATTCTTACATATGTAATTTAAAAATATTTAAATTTAATTAGTTTTATTTTTAACATTCCATTAGTTTAAAGTTAGGCACACGATTTTTGTAATTAAAATATTTCAATTCTGTAAAGATGGATTACCTTTTGTTTTCTCCTTTTTAGACCTCCGAGATTTTTTTTTTTGTTAAAAGACCTCCGAGATTTCAGAGCAAGTTCTAATTGGATATGTGATATTAATCAGAAGTAATTTTAATATTGCTTTTAAAAATGTAGGTAGGTCTACGTACAAATAGTAGATATGATTGCTCAACAAAACCGGTCAACATTTACGGGTCTATATATTCGTACCTCAACTCCGACTATCCTATGGTCCAAAACAATCTATCGTACTTAGTTATTCATTGTATAGATAACAAGACGATTGCATTCAGTTATCGTACTTAGTTATCGCGCTCCACAGTGTTTTCAATGGAGTCCAATTGCATTCAGTTCCTCCAGAACAAGACGATTCTCGTCACCGGTGTTCCCGGTTTCCTCGCCAAAGGTACCGACTTGGATCCGTTACCATACAAACAAGATTTTGTGATTCAATCCAATGTTTGTGTTTATTGTTTTAGTATGCATGCATACGATTCATTATTCACTGAAAATACCTTATTTAAATTGGTATGCATATATATCATAAATAACATAACTTTTCGATATTATATTATTCATTTGTTGAATCTATTTTTGTCGTCCATAGAGCAATAATGTCTACTTTTGGCTCTTTCTATTTTCATCTGGAATCTATCTAATTCTAATTTTGACAAATGCTATCAGTTGCGATGGTGAACCACTTCCCATCTCCGCATAATTTCCTCAGCAAAATTATTTTGTTTAACTAATTAATTTTCTAACATAATTAATTCCAAATTTTATCTAATAATTTTTATAATCATCATAGTGTTTGTGGAGAAAATATTGAGGATTCAACCAAACGTGAAGAAGCTTTTCCTTCTCTTGAGAGCAGCAGACAATGAATCAGCCATGCAACGGTTTCAAAGTGAGGTAAAAACAAACATTTGGTCATATATAAAAATTAATATCTATGAAGATTAAATTAGCTTTAAAGCCAAATTATTTTTATGTAAGTTCTATATTAATGTTTTGGATATATGATCTGACTTACATGAGATATAATACAACAGGTTTTAGAGAAAGATCTTTTTAGAGTGTTGAGGAACGCTTTAGGTGATGAGAATCTGAAAGCTTTCGTATCAGAAAAAGTTGTCCCTATTTCGGGTGATATTTCAGTTGATAATCTGGGAGTGAAGGATTCTGATCTCTTACAACATATGTTGAATGAGATCGATATCATTGTCAATGTCGCCGCCACAACGAACTTTGATGAAAGGTATACAACAAACTGTGGTTGATACTCTAAGATATCGAAATGTTAAAAAAAAAAAATTGATGGTTTATATATGTTTTTATTTTTAAGTTTGGTTTGATTGAAATCTAACTTTAAATCATGTTTCTAATGTATATATATAAACAAAGATATGATGTTGGTCTTAGCATCAATACATTTGGACCGCTCAATGTCCTCAACTTTGCCAAGAAATGTGTTAAAGGGCAGTTGCTTCTCCATGTCTCAACCGGTGAGTTCGATAATCTTATTATTTTCAACAAAATCGTATTATTTTCTTCTGCCCATATTTAATGGATCATATAGTCATAGACACCTCACATTTGTATTTTGTAGCGTATGTGTGCGGAGAGAAGTCTGGAATTTTACAAGAGAAAGCATTTCACATGGGGGAGACGTTAAACGGACATGGAAAATTAGTCATTGAGACCGAAATGGCGCTAATTAAACAAAAACTGAAAGAGTTACAGAAACAAGATTGTTCGGAAGAAGAGATTTCACAGTCTATGAAAGATCTTGGAATGTCAAGGTGATCAGTGTAATAATCACAAACTAGTTATTATTTATTATTGAAAATATCCACTGACCTGTAACTAAATTGGTCTTAAATATTAGGGCAAAGCTTCATGGATGGCCAAACACATATGTGTTTACCAAATCAATGGGAGAGATGCTTCTTGGTAGCCATAGAGAAAATCTTCCTATCCTTATCATCCGTCCCACAATGATCACTAGCACTATTTCCGAACCATTTCCCGGTTGGATCGAAGGGTTAAGGTAAATCTATACCGGTTATAGATTGATCATGGAAATTGTTTTAGACTTATGCATGATACTTTTATTTTCTATGTGCAGAACCATAGATAGTGTGATTGTTGCATATGGCAAAGGAAGGCTTAAATGTTTTCTTGCAGATCCAAACTCAGTCCTTGATCTTGTAAGTTCAACTTAATTTAGGTTGTGATTGTCTTAAAGTCAATTATGCGTTCACGTCTACGCAAAAATAAATAACACTATCGAAAGATAAAACAATCATTTTTTTTTTTTTTGTAAAGTGTATGCAAACGCCAACTATAAACATAATTTTAATTTTTCTTCCATTTGGTGTTTGTGTTTACAATTAACAAAAGAAAATTACTTCACAATTCTAGAAAGGTGTAATTTGGAAGAAACGATTACCATATTTTAAATTTATAACATATATAAGCAATTTCATACGCCAAAACACTTTCAAAGGTTTAGTTAGTCCATTGGTTGACTAAATGTACCCAAGATCCAGAATTCAAGTAAGAAAACAAGGATATTTTTCAGTGGTATAGCATAGGCCTTAAAACCATAACATTATTTTCTAATGGCACATAAGATCAATAAGCCGGTAAACATTGCTAATTCCTCTTTGAAAGAATACATACGCCATGTTTATTTGTGATTATTATACACTATATTAGTCATTGTGGTCCACTGATAGTAATATTCACAGATACCTGTGGACATGGTCGCAAACGCAATGGTAACGGCTGCGGCAATACACGCAGGGAAATTAGGATCTCAAACCGTGTACCATGTCGGCTCATCTTGTAAGAACCCGATCACATTTGAACAGATTCACGATCTCGCGGCTCGGTACTTCACCAAAAGCCCTCTTGTTGGACGCGATGGTTCACCCATCATTGTCTCCAAAGGAACTATCTTGTCCACTATGGCTCAGTTCAGCTTCTACATGACCCTTCGTTACAAGCTACCTTTGCAGGTACGCATCTTTTTGTTCTTTCTTGCATATTAATATTAAATCCTAATGTTGAAAGAAGAGTCTTATTTTGTTGACAAAATTTGATCCAAAGAGAAACTAATTGTTATAACAAATTCTTATGCATATATTTTCTTCTATTATCAGATGCTGCGATTGATATATGTAATTTATCCTTGGTGGGATGGAAATAAATATAAAGACATTGACCGCAAAATTAAACTGGCGATGCGGCTAGTCGACCTCTACAGACCTTATGTCTTGTTTAAGGGCATGTATGTATCAATCTCAAAGTTTACATAAATGACTTTTGATATCTACAATTTTAATCTTCATTTTTCCAGTTAATTTTCTTATTTTGATGCGAGATTCTTTTCGCTTTTTCTTTTGCAGATTTGACGATACGAATACTGAGATACTGCGGTTGAAAAGAAAGGAGATTAATAAAGAAATGTATGGTTTGTTCGAATTTGATCCAAAGTCTATTGATTGGGATAATTACATGACGGCCATTCATATTCCCGGCCTCGTCACATATGTACTAAAAAAATAAAACGTTTAAGACATGAAAATGAGTATTATTTACATTTCTTGGTTACCTATAAATTACTTGAACCGAGTAAAATTGTGTATTGGTTGGGGTTGAAAACAAATACAAGGTGTGTACTGCCAGTATTAATCTAGTTTCTTACCTCTCATGTATTGTTTTAAGTTCTAAGTTTGCAACTAGAACTTTCTAGTTTTGATTTACTATTTCTCGTAATCTTCAATTGTAACAAATTATTTCAAAAGAGTGGTTAAATTTTTTTTAGTACTTTTTGTGATCTCCATACATGTCTTACACGATATTGATGAATATATACTATGAAAGAAGATGGAGAGTGTCATTTACCTAGAACACATTTTTGAACTTCGAAATCTTGACAAGAACTCTCCTTAGAGCGCTTTACATAGCTAACCCACACATGTTTGTTCCTCGCCCCTTACCTGGAATGATCGAGCAAATAAACTCAGATTGGTATGAAGCTATGTTTTAAAATATATATTGTTAATTTGTTATAGATTCAAATGAAACAGGGGACATCGGTTGCAAGGCAGAAGTTTCTAAATCATATATATACACACGAGGTCTGGTTTAGTCATTTGTCATTTCTAAAGGAAAAGAGTCAAAAGACTATTCTTTGATAGCATGAATAAAGATTAGAATGTTGAGCGACCATCTTCATAAATCACAATGCCAAATTTTGTGATCCCATTTGAAGATTGATAAATTCTTCTTGTTCTATTACTTGAGAGTTGAGATAATTTTATAATCTATTTTGACTATTTGAGATAGACTTTTATTTTAAGATATTTTTTTTTCATTATTGGACACATTATTTATTTGGTATTCATGAATCACAATGCCAAATTTTGTGATCCCATTGTTACATTCTTCTTGTTCTATTACTTGAGAGTTGAGATAATTTAAATATAATGTATTTTGACTATTTGAGTTAGACTCTTATTTTACTGTTTTTTTTTTCTATTATTGCACACAATATTTATTTGGTATTCATGTAAATTAATTTGACCCAAAAAAGGGTGTTGAGTAAACAAGGTGCGTAATAATGGATTATACTAGTGTTGTCAATGTATCATATTCCAAGTTCAAATTCGATAGTATACAAAAAAAAGGGTGATAGTAATCTTTAATTCTATTTATTTTGTTTATGCTTTTTAAAAGTCATTAATACAAATTAAATGTTCAATTCCAAGAAGTTACTAGTCCGTATGAAACCACTCCACATTCAAAAAAGTGCATTGCTTTGTCAAATAAGTTTGGTGCCAACTTATGGACATTTTCGTGATTTTGGAATTGAGTGAGTTGGATTTTGCAAAGATCTTTGGAGAAGTGTATCATTTTCTATGTCTTGTTGAGATAATAAATTCTTCTTTCAAGAAAGTACAAGAGTTCCCCTCCGCCTACGCACAAGGAGTTGACAAAGGTCCTCTAGACAGAAGAAGGATCGACAAAAGACTTTACGTGTGGTTTAGTTCTTAGATTATCATAATATGGAAAAATGCCTCTAGGCAGGGCCGTCTATTTTTTTTTTTCTTTTAATACTAAATAAAATTGAGATCTCTGCTTCATAATCTTTTTGGACGTACCACGTCTATTTTGTTATAGGAGAACTTCAGTAATAATTAAAAAAATCACATCAATTTTAGCTACAACTGTTTACTAGTTATAACTTTTGCCAAGAATCATACACAGCAATAATTTTTTTAAAAACAAATTCTACGCTGTCTTATTAAAATCTAACAAGAAGGGAGCTAGTGAAAAAAAAAAAAACCTTTTTACTGTTTTTGGTCTTGTGGCTTTCTGAACAAATACATGTGTTTTTGAATCTACTTGAGAGGAAGAATTATTTCCAAAGAAAATAGTGTAAAGGAAGCCTTTATCAAAAAAAAAAAAAAATAGTGTAAAGGAAGTTTTCTGATCCTTAGAGATAAAGAGGTCTTCATCCGAACTTCACAGTGTAAGAAAAAAAAAAATTCACTTTGGTCGAAACTGTGTAAGAATCCTTAAGTAGTTTTTTATTTTTTTAAAACAATCAACTTTGTAAATTAAGTAAACGAACTTAAATTCTCTATGTTGAGGGAAATATTTTCAATAAATGGGGTTTTGACCAAACTTTAGGGATTTTCCACTAAAATGGAACAAATTGCAGAATTTTTTACCAAAGTTGAGGGGGTTTTAACTAAAATAGTTAATTATAATTATATCTCTTGAAGTATGTATCTGTATCTCCTATTTGAGATAAGAACCGGCCAACATGAATGTTAGTGCATTTGTACTTAATGGATCTTAATAATTCTCATGTTATCCATTGTCCATATTTTTCCTGTTGCCTAATTAATAGATTGTGTTTTTCCCTGTCGATTTTGTGGTTACGACGTGAACACCTCCTCTTTCACATTTCTATTTTGGTCTCATAATCTATATAGTCTGCAGCATTTCCTTCACTAATTGCCTTTCTTTTCCAGTCATCAATATTGTTGTCATATTAATTGGTTGAGTCTCCAGTTTGCTAGACGAGTTCAGCCTTTTAAAGTATTTTAATTAAGGGATATTTTTGATAGTGTCTCTCTTTGTTTTATATAGTTGGTTAAACTGTAAAACTGATTGTTCAGGTCTAACCAAATTTTTTGATGACATCTTTATAAAACCATTTCTTTAAGACTAGAATTACCAATCAATCGATTTTGTTTAAATATAATCCTGCGGTTGGGAACAAATTAAGATTTGAGCCTTTAAATATTAATCCTACGAATTGCTTGCATGTTTTTCATTTTGCAATTTTCTGTATCAATTTCTTGATATTTACGTTCCTTTTCTTTATTTTTCAAATGTTTAATACATGAAAAATTCCTAATATTTGACCATAGCTCATTTTCTTTTGATAAAGTGACCAGAGTTTCATTGATATCTACATTCTATCAAGCTGAAAATATATATTACTCTCTGTTTTATTTTAGTTGACGTTTTGGAGTTTATTTTATATTTAATAATAATAATATATGAAAATGTACTTCTTACAATTAGTAACTGGTATCTATACAGTTGTGCATTTCTTTTCAGTTTAAACTGGTGTTTTAGATATTTTAACTTTTGGTAAAACCGTAAAAGAGAGGAATATGTTTTAATTGTTATATTAACTGTTTCACTCACGGTAACTAGTTATCAGAATCTACCACTTGTTCGTTGTCTTCTCCGGTTTAAGAAGAATTATGGCTAGATATTTCTTTTGATAAAAAAATCATGGCTAAAGTTCATCTAGAAGAATCATGGCTAGAGATTTTCTTTTGATAAAAAGTCTTGGCTAAAGTTACTGATGAACCGGTTGAGTATCTAATGTAAAATCAACTCAAGAAGAAGTAAGAGTCCAAACGTAAGCTTCAAGATCCATTATACATGGCGCGTTATAAGTGTGATTCTTGGTTTAGTAGTTTCCTTGAAAGAGAAATAGAAATTTGATAAAAACAAATTATTACTAGTTCGAGTCTACTCGGGAAAAAGGATATTCCCAAAGAGAATAGAAATTGCCTCCAGCCTCAACGCTAGAACTCTGGTACGAACTTCTACGTTATCAAGAAAAAAAAACAAAAAATTTGTTGTCCATTTACCTTCTGTTTGTGATAGTTTTATGGGATGCGCCAAAAACAAAAGAAAAAAAAATGATTAGTTTTAAAGAATAATAAAAGAATGAATATTCACTTTATCAATAAAAAGGGAAAAAGGTATAAATTTTGAATAAATAAACACAAATTTAGTTAGTAAGTCGAGTAAAGAGTATCCACGAATGAATTATTATTTTTTTGTTTTATTGTATTTTATCTTCTTGTAACAATGTATCTTGCTAGGGAAATCTGAAAATTAAAAAAAAAACAAAGATATAGAGCCAAAAAAATAAAATTTTCAAGTGTAACAAAATATAAGATATGGAGCCAAAAAAAAAAAAAAAAAAAAAAAATATGGAGCCATATTATTTACCAATGATTGTCACACCTTTAAAAGTCACATGAACAAAACATGTTATTTGACTGATAACAGCTCTCTGCCCCCAACCAAACTGTGCATGTAATGTGGTTGGGTTCAAAAGACTATTGGAGTGCAGTCTGCACTGTCGCCGACATCATATCCCACCTGTACTTAGTCATACACATTTAGTTTTTCTAAAAAGACATAAATATCATCAATCATATATAACAAGCACATTCGTGTGTCATGAAATTAAATCCATATATTTTATTGGTGATATCAAGGTTTTTTTTTTTTTTTTTTTAAAGTATTATTTGGCAGAATCACGCTTTGGTTCTGTGCATACACATATGATCTGCTTGGTAACAAAATGTTGAACAGCGGTAAGAGATGGATGTCTAATTAGAATCGGTAAAAATAACGTCAGTTTTGGTTTGAGTTTCTTGTAATGTTACTTTACAACTTAATTAATACTTTTAAACGAAAACAAAATATTTAAAAAGTAAAAATGGTTGACACGATTTTTTCTAAGGGGATATGTGTGCTTAAAACTATATTAAGAAAAAATATATTTTTTTGTTCAACTGAAGAAATATTATAAATCTTAAGAAATATCACATCAAATTTAAAGATATTGTTAGAAAAATTCAGATTCAACTATTCAACTTTCTGAAATAAGAAAAATTAGTATGACATAATCAAATATTATAGATATAGTATTCTCTCACTTCATTATAGTAAACTATATTATATAGTTACAATTTTGTTGTTGCAAAGAACAAAAGCTACACAAAATTTGTAGACTCATAGGCAATGGAAAAACACTTAGAAAATTTGTAGCTAACTCGTATTAAATACGTTGTCAAATATAAACTAATTATCTAATAGAGAACCGTTTCCGATTAGCAACGATTTACAGTCCTAGCCAACTCACTATAAGACCATCAGCAATGGTAAACTTGGGTGGATGTGTGTTAGTGGGGTGTAAATATTTTTTTATTATTATAATTAGAGATAGAGAAAAGAGAGAGAGAGGGAGAGATAGAGAGAAGAAATTTTTTCTATTTTTATAATACCTTACACTTGAGTGTAAACTTGCACCCTTGTTTTGTGTCTTAGCCCAAATTTACATTATTTCTCATTTGT